AGGATAGGCGCCTTGGGGGGCACGCAGCACCCCTGCTGTTGGCTCCGCTCGCCCAGAGAGGTGTCAGGGGAGCAGCACCCCCACTCCCAGGCCCTGCACACTGCAAGAGCGTGTCCCCCTGCGGGCAGGCAAAATCTGGGGGCCAGCAGGAGGAGGGGATGCCCCCTCCAGGTTCTGCCCAGCATCCCAAGGGAGTGCCCTTGCCCCTCCTACGCCCAGCCCCTGGGAGAGGAGCCGTGGTCCAGGCGAGGGCTCACCACGTGGATAATGTCCAGGGAGAAGATCTGGATGCAGCACATGACGGCCGAGAACGTGCAGACCACGGTGGAGAAGATGGTCAGGCCGCAGACGCTGAACAGAAGGTCCTGGGGGAGGGAGAGGGAGTGAGCCCAAGATGCTGTGAGTGTGGGCAGGCTCTGGGCGGGGGTGTGACGTAGGGGGGGTAACTTGCTAAGGCTGTGACGACCTCTGATGTCTGGTCATTATGCAAAGGGGGCTCCAAACCTGTCTGACCAGCCACCCCCCATGGGGAGAAACAAAGGAAGGTGGGATGCCGCCCCTGGCTGGGGGGCAGGGCTGGAGGAGAGTTAGTTAGTTTTCTGTCTGGGAGCATGGAGGAAGCAGCCTCAGCAACAGGCTGGGGGGTTTAGAAGCCGGACCCCCCACCCCATATCAAGGGGGGGCTGAGGCATCCTAGGCCTGTCCTGTAACCTGGTGACATCTGTGCTGTGCTGTATCCTGGAGAGGCAATAAACTCCCTCTGTTCTACCGGCTGGTGGAGTCTGTTCGTGCCCTTTCGGGGGTGCAGGAGGCAGGGGACCCCAACGGGCCATCACAGGGGGGCAGAAGGAGACCCCCAGACACCAAGCTGCCCAGCCCATGCCAAGCAGAGGGAGGACCCCCAGAGCGCCCCGCGGCACAGCCACCCGCTCACCTTCAGAGCCAGGCGGACGCTCCGGCAGTCGGGGTTGGGGAACATGGTCAGCGTCTCGCCCTGCCTGCTGCAGGAGGGGCCCAAGGACGGGTGCTCGGCGCGGGCCTGGCAGCAGATGCAAGCGTCCTTCTCCTGGATGGAGAGGAGAGACCCCGGTGAGGGATTTCCACACCCCCAGGCCCGGACACCTGCCACTCCCCCACCGGCCCCACCAGCACCAGGCAGGCAGGGAGAGCCAGCCAGCGGGTCCCTTCTGCAAGCACCAGCCTAATGGGGCTGGGATACCGGCCCTGCCCCATCTAACCCAGCGGCAGGGACCCCGAAAGGGCCGGCCTTACCCGAGTGCAGGCCTCCAAGGACTTGACCAGCTGGGCGTTCTGGCAGGAGAGGATGGAGCCGGCCAGGCTCAGCATGACGCCCAGCACGGACAGCAGCGTGAAGGTGGTGACCTGCAGCCAGGGCAGAGAGGCTGTGAGCTGGGCGGGAGAGCGAGGAGCCGGGGCCAGGGGCTGGGTGAGGGGCAGGGCCAGGGCGGGCGCCCGCAGCCCGACAGAGACACCTACCACCAGGGTGAAGGGCCGTTTCCAGGAGACGATGCCGATGAGCCCGGACAGCGCCAGCTGGGGAAAAAAGGGCAGCCATTACTGAGGGAAGGGCAGGAGAGGAGGGAGGCCCGAGACCTGCCCGCAGGCCGCCCTCCCGCCTCCGCGCCCCCAAAGGCGGCTCCGAGGGAGGAGGTGCTGGGTCAGCCTCTGGAGCGGGGCCCACGCTGGACAGCAGGGCCAAGGCAGCTGAACGCCTCTTTGCCGCCAGCCTGAGGAAAGCGCTGATTCAGGGCTCTCTGGAGAGCCGGGGCCTCCAGGCGGGCGAGCCCG